TAGAGCGCTTGCCTTGCATGCCTGAGGCCCTGGGTTCGATTCTTCAGCACCACATAAGCAAAAAGAAAAAAGCCAGAAGTGGTGCTGTGGCTCAAGGGGTAGAGTACTAACCTTGAGCTGAAGAGCTGAGGGACAGCGCCCAGGCCCAGAGTTCAGGCCCCATGATCAGCCAAAAAAAAAAGAAAGAAAAAGTAAATAAAAACAAAAGTTGGATGTGTGATTTCAACTACTTAGGAGGCAGAGACAGAGTTCAAGGCTGGGCTGTGAATATAGATTAGTGGTAGAGTGCTTGCCTAGAATGAATGAAGCCCTGGGTTCAATTCCTCAGCACCACATAAACAGAAAAAGCCAGAAGTGACACTGTGGCTCAAGTGGTAGAGCGCTAGCCTTGAGCACAGAGAGGCTCTGGGACAGAGCCCAGGTCCTGAGTTCAAGCCCCAGGATCAGAAAAAAAAGTTCAGGATTGATCCCAGCAAAAGTACAAAACACTGTCTCAGAAATTGAATACAAACATTTAAAAACAACTGTGTAACTCCATGATCCTGACCAAGATAGATTTAAGCGGGATATTTCTGCAAGTCCCAGGAAACCTAGGAAAAAAGGTGACACCAAGGACTTTGGTCCTTGGGCACTGAGTTCAGAATACAAATGGGTAAGGCCGAGGACCAGGCTGGTCTGTCTGCTCTGGGTGGCCGCTCATGCCGTTGGCTGGTGCACCTTCCCATGACTCCCAGGAGCCAGGCTGCACAGCCCTGACAGCCAGCCCTCGTACACCATGCCTGCCTGGGGACTCAGCCCTGTTTCCATGGTACTGTGCCCCTTTCCTGAATAGAAAAGCAAGTGCCCCTGAGCTACTCGCTAATTAAGCCCAGAACAAGCCAGGATTCAGGGGAGAGGCCCAGTGTGTACCCGGGCTCCATTCATGGGCCCCAGCCCAAGGCTTTCTTCCTCCCAGCCCCTTCCCAGGCCCCTACTGGGGATGAAAGCCGAGAGGCAGTGTGGGCAGGGTGGGGGAGCAGCTCACATAATGCGAAGAGAAGGCTGCACCCTGTTACTCCCAGGCCCCCTTCCCCTAAGCTAGGCTATATACCCCAGGGCTGGCCCACCGACTCCCTTCCCCCGGCCTGCCTCCTACCCCTGGCACTCAGCCCCTTCCCCTGTCAAGTCGAGGAGTCTCTCCTCCCATGAGCTGATCTGCCTGGCCCTCTAAATCTCAGATGCCTCCCATAGTGCTCGTCCAGGTCTTGTGGACTATGCCCTGTTTCCCACAACACGCTGTGGTCCCTACCAGAAACCTGGGGCTACCTCTTTTTTTTCTCCACCTCCTCAGCCCTGCACAGCTGCCAGCTCCTGCCAAGGGGCCTCCTCAGCCCCCAACTCTGCTGCCAGAGCTTGTCACTCCCCTGGGCCCCCATCCAACCCCTAAACTGCTGTGTGCACACACACCAACAGCCACATGCAAATGCATACATGATTGTAGACATGCATAGGTGCAAACATACATGCATAAGCTTTATACACATGCACCCCGTACAAATGTACACACATATAGGCATGCATACACATACACACTCCCACATGCAATACAGACAAATGTACCTGTTGATACACAATGTACACATACAAAAACACATGTCTACAAACACATGCACAAAACACATGCATGCCTGTGCACACATAAACATATATAAACACCCCCATGCAAATACAAATATATTCAACTCAAAGCAGCTTGAGCTAAACAAGGAGTCTTCTTTTTCATTCCCCAAAGAATACAAAAAAGCTGGGCATGCTGGATGCTGGTGCCTTACCAGCATCCAGCATGATAATCCTAGCTACTCAGGAGACTGAGATCTGAGAATCAAGGTTCAAAGCCAGCCTAAGCAGGAAAAGTCTGTGAGACTCTTGTCTTCAACTAACCCCCAGAAAACTGGAAGTGGTGCTGTGGCTCAAATTGGTAGAGCACTAGCCTTGATCAAAAAAGCTCAGGGATATCACCCAGACCGAGTTCAACCCCATGACCCACCCACCCCCACAAAAAAAAGGCTGAGCATGATGGTGCATTCCTGTAATCCCAGCCCTCAGGAATCAAAGGATCACAAATTGAAATTTAACAAGGACGACATAGCAAAGTCTTGGTTAGAAAGCAAACTGGCCGGGCACTGGTGGCTTATACTTATAATCCTAGCTACTCAAGAGGCTGAGAGCTGAGGATTGCGATTTGAAGCCAGCCTGGGCAGGAAAGTTCATGAGACTTTTATCTCCAATAAACTACTCAGGAAAAAGTCAGAAATGGCCCTGTGGTTCAAGTGGTAGAGCTCTAGCTCTAGACCCTGAATTCAAGCCTTAGGACAGCACAAAAACAAACTCTGGCTAGGCACTGGTAGCTCATGCCTGTAATCTTAGCTATTCAGGAGGCTGAGATGTGAAGAATTGATGTTCAAAGACAGCCTAGATCGGAAAGTCCCTGAGACTCTCATCTCCAATTAGCTACCAAAAAACTGGAAGTAGAGCTGTGGCTCAAGTTCAAGTCCCAGGACCAGCATCTAAAAATAGAGAGTTATATCGCAATGCTTTGTCCCTAAAACAAACTGTGAGGAGGGCCTACCATCATGGGCATTGTCCTTTCCCTCCGTCCCATGTTGTAGTAGCCGCATGCACAGCCAGTGGCTGGCCTATGGAGGTAGCAGCCATAGCTTAGTCTCTGTTCCCACAACATGACCACGGCGGGTGTTTAAGGTGGCTTTTGAAGGTGATACAGTGACGCCCAGTACTTGCAAATGAGAGGTTCCAGTCCTGGAACCGTAATTAAGTGGGACCAGGCTCCTCTCTGACATGTGTTCAGCTGATTGTGAGGGGTGAGCGTGGTTAAGCACTTCTGGCTTCAAGTGCCTCACGCTGAGTTACTTTGCCAAGACTTAGGGACAAAGCAGCTCCTGCTTTTTCCAAAGCAGATGTTTTTGGAGCGAATTCTCCCCCTATAGTTGGTTTCTGGATCTTTGCCCTGGGGTTCCCCCCAAATTCCCAACCCTTCCCTCCACTCAGCCTGCAGGACCCCCATGCTTGGGTGATACAAAGCATGGCAGTCTCCTGGCCTCCGCTCACCTTGTCCCTCCTCAGATTTGAGGCCCTCAATCTCAATCCTCCTGTCTTGCCTGCCTCCCGAATGGCTGTCATTTTTCATACCATCCCTGTGGCCAAGTGCTTCTGTCTGTTACCTTGGATTTATGCTGGGCAGCTGGGGGACTAGGACAATGTTTTTGATGGCTCAGTGCTTAGAGATTCCCCGAGCTGATTTCTTGAGCCCCTCTGGATTTCTGGATAGGCAAGGCTGCTGGCCAGGTAGCCCTGGGAAATGGAGCGTACTTACGTCATTGCTGGCCTGGGCTGTGGTTGGCTGGCCCCCATGGCCCTCTCAGGAACCGTGCTGGCTGACAGCTCTCCCAGCCTCTGGAGCCATGAGGCCAAATCCCTCATGGCAAGATGGAAAGCAGTGACCCAGAGGCCTTCCTGGGGCCCAGAAGCTTGAGCCAGGTATCTACAGAGGGCTGGGCAGTGGCCTGACTGTGGGGCTAGGGACGCACAATGCCACGTGTCAATAGGCACCAAGGAGAATGGGGGAGGGGGGGTGTGCTCCAGTCTGCTGCTCTTCCTGCCAGTTTTCCCAAATACTCTCCCCACAGAAAATATGAACGTCATTGGACAGGGTCCAAGCCCAGGGAATTCCATTGTTCTGGCTGCAACCCCGAGATGTGGGGGCCAGGAACAGCCTGGACGCGTGCGACCGGGGACTGGCTTTGCTCCCAGCAGCTCCAGGTCTCAGAGCCTCTGCTCAGTCGTCTCCCTGGCCTGGCTCACTCCTTGCTCTGTTCCAGATGCTTCTGCCAGATGCTTCCAACAGTTCAGCTCTCAAGGTTCACGCTGAACAGACTCTCGCAGCTCTAATTTTCACTTACAAACACTGACTTCACTAGAAGGGGAAAAGGGGAAAGGGAGGACTGGTGGATGGGCTTCATCTGTAGAGGGAAGCTGATATCCAGCCTTCAGCCACACATGGGCCAGAGCTGGCAGGAAGAGCCTGTGAGCATGGCCAAAGCACCTGGGCGGGGGTCTTCCTTCCTGCCCTGTTCCCAGGTGGACCAGGCCTTCTCTCAGTTAACCCTCACCGTCCTGGGAACCCGCTCTGCTCTCACCCTGAGTACTATGTGCAGGAGTCACCAGACAACATGTGGAATTATTTCACCTTCTCTACCCTGGACATCTTTTGCCACTTTCCCCTCACACACTTTCCTTTAGACAGGGCTTCATGAACCAAACACACTGCACATATTGCAAATTAGCTCCTTTTGTGTGTTCATGCCAGTACTGGGACTTGAACTCAGGGCCTGGGCACTGCCCCTTAACATTTTTGCTCAAGCTGGTGCTCTACCACACCTCCAACTCTAGCTCTTTGGTGGGAAATTGGAGAAAAGAGTCGCACCCACTCTTCTGCCTGGGCTAGCTTCAAACCTCTACCCTCAGATCTTACCTTCCTGAGTAGCCAGGTTGACAGGCGTGAGCCTCAGGCGTGAGCTGGGAAGAGGGCTTTCATTTTGTTCACTAGTCTCAGTAACCTGAGCGCACTGGGGAAAGACCTGAAACAAACCCGACTCCCAGCCTTAGCCTGTAGGTGTGGAGAACTTGACTTTTGTCCTCTTGGCCTTGTCCTCCTGGCCTGGCTGCTCTTTCCTAACAGGGTGGTGTCTCAGGGGGAAGTCACAGAGGCTGCTCTGTGAAGGCTCTTCCCCCCAAGGAAGTCAGATGAATCCAAGTGTCTCAGAGGCCATTGCCCAGCCTCCCAGAAGAGGCTTGGCTGCCCAGAGCTGGCAAATGGGCACAGGGGACTGAAGAGCTCAGTTTTGGAAGATAGGAAGTCCTGAAATAAGGCCCCGGGCAGTGAGGGGGCAGAGCCAAGAGGATGTACCCATTGCCCCTGGCAAAGGAGGAAGGGCTGCTGCAGAAGGTGAGCACCTACTGTTGGACCACGTGCCTCCCTCCTCCAGGAAGCCCAGCGGGGTACCTGTCACACCTTGTCCCAGTAATCAATGAATTTCCAGGCTTCAGGTCACCAGGATTGGGCACTTTTTTTTGGGTGGGGGAGAGGGGGCTTAGGTTCTAACAAAGGATGGAATCCTCCCCAAAGGAGATTCAGTCTACACTCAGGGCCTGAGTGTTCTGCGCTTTTTTTTTTTTTTCACTCAAGGCTGGCACTCAACCACTTGATCTACAGGTCCACTTCTGGCTTTTTGGTGATTAATTGGAGATTAGAGTCTGCCCGAGCTGGCTTTGAACCCTGATCCTCAGGTCCCAGCCTCCTGAGTAGCTGGGATTGCAGACATGAGCTACCAGCGCCCGGCTCCCACAGCACACTAACGTGTATCAGTGCCAGGGTTCTGTGCACTCTGTCCTTCCTGCACCTCCAGGGACCCTGTTCCCAGAGGAGGACAGAGAGGCACCAAGACCATGTAACCTGTTCCGAGATCAGGTCACACAGAGTCGGTGAATCCCGCCATGCACGCCCAACAGATAGGCCGCGGGGTTGCATGCTGCTGGGGCTCGCACAGCCCCTTGCAGGCCTACCCAACCCCCGCAGCAAACACGCGATGCTGGACCCAAAGAGCGAGATGCCTGCGGGATCACAAGAAGGGATCAACTGGGGCCCGAGGGCTGGAGGGTCCTCCGGGCCTTCCGGACCCAGCGCCCCGGGAGAGCGCAAGGCCAGGGGGAGGCGGGAACTCTGACGGTGGGCCAATGGCTTTGCAGAGGCGGAGCCTACGGGCGCGGAGAGGGAGGGGCCAGAGGACGGACCCGGTGGTAAGAACCACCAATAGAAATGCAAGAGCGGGTGAGTAGCGCCTATGGAAGGGCCGGACCGGTGAGCGATAAGCCAATGAAAGCTCAGGATCAGGGGTGGAAGGCGGAGAAGACGTA